GGAAAAAACCCCAAACATCTGAGATTAATTCTGTGTTTAACAGAGATTATTCTGAGATGAATTGCTTGTACAAACAATACCAAATTGAACCCTACAGACCAAACACCAGTGTGTTCCCTGGGACAGAAGAATACCGAGTTTTCAAACATTGAGGAAAATCTTGCTAGGGACATAGTTGTTCAATAAATTCAAGAGGTAGAAAATTTGAGCCACCAGAATCTGTTTTCTGACAAGACTCTATAAAACACTCTGAAGATGACCTAATTTTGAGTGGGAAGGTGGCAGATGAGAAAACCCCAAATCTATTAGAATTCAGGAGGGTCCTTGGATAGACAGTCAATCCATCAGGCTGCCAAGGAGAAGGATACAGGTTCTGCTGGTGCCAAGGGAATTGTGGTGTTTAACTACACTGCTACTGAAGTTGTGAATGAAGGAACAGGCCCTGTTGAAACAAAAGAAGAATGAAACATTCTGTCTGATGTGTCTTGACAAGGCACTTGAGCAGTATTCAACACTCAAGTTATTACAGAAAGAATTGGGTGATTCAAGAGACCTGAACAAGGAAAATATTGAATTAACTGTCATCTCTGATGAAACAAAATGGAGCAGGGACTCCCATTTAAAAAAAAAAAGATTATTAAAGCTTTCATGTAATGCCTCTCAGTTGCTTTTTGAATTAATTTTTAAGGACTTTAAGACTGTCCAAAAGTGGGAGCTGCAGACTCCACTTCATTGTGTCACTCTCAAGTGCTTCAGAAGGTGACAGAAGTGCCACCCAGGCTCAGTGACTAATGCTTGGCTCTGCTCTGGGTTTCTGGGCTCATCTTCTCCCTGGGCTGGCCATGGCCATGGTTCCTTTACTGGAAGGGGCTTATTATGATTAAAAGGGTATCAGGGTGACTGTTTTATCTCACAACTGACCATTCTGCCATGCCTGGTGATGGGGCCCAGACATTTCCAGTAGTTCCACCTGAAAACAGCTGTCCTTGCACAAAAACCAGGGATAATCATATGCTGGAGCGATGGAGAGGTTGAGCTCAGCTCCCTGCTGTTCCAGTACTCTTTAATTTGGAATTGCCAGGAAAGATGCAACTGCAACATGATTTTTGTCTTGAAAACACTAAAATGAGCCAGAAATCACAGGCTTTAAGTGTTCCAGGCATTTTAATGATGATGAAGGTCAAAGACAAAGTGCAGACTGTGGCAGTGAGGGGGTGTCAGAGACAAATTGTTATTTCCACTGAAGGAAGTGGAGCTCAGAGGGGGAAGGCAACAGGAGAAGGCAGACAGGCTGCAGGGAGAAGGGAGGCCTGGAGTCAGTACTAACAGAAATGACATTCCCAAGCATGGCTCCATCATTTACTGCAGCTGAGAAAGTCCCAGGATCCTCCCATCCCTATAGTGACAATTAGAGGGGTTACAGTGAAGGGAAATTGAGCTTTTAGGGAAGGGGGCTTTAGGATATGGTGGTGCTGGGACAGGCAATTTCTCCTTGATTATCTCATCAGCTCCAGCTGGAAGAGTGGGATAAGAGAGGGGAGCAGGTGGTTCTGACTCCACCCAGAAGGAGGTTTGTTGCAGTCTAAATCCTGGGGCTGAGAGGAGGGTACCAAGTGAAAAGCTAAAGCTTTTTGTTTCATTTGGAGTAGGTTTTTGTTTGTTTTATTTATTGAAGGATAAATGCCTTAGCTTGCACTGTGCTCTTGCAGGGCTTTTGAGTTAACAATAGAGGGTGTATTTGTGAAAGGTGCTGGAAAACCCTGGTGGCTGCATGGAGCTCTTCCTGGGTGAGTAAATATTGTACTGGCTCATACTATGGCAACAGGAAAAATAGCAATACTTCAGCAAGCTGTTACTCCTTGTTTGGGAAATGCAGCCCTCTTTGTGCTCAGTTAAAAGCAAACTTTAAGGGTGAAAGCTTTGTGTTTTTTCTGTGTGGCTCTCCCAGAGACAGCATAAAAAGACATTTCCAGGGGTTTTTTGCCAAATCACTGATGCCAATGATACTGGACTCATGTGGCTGGGACCCAGTATCATTTACAAGAACACAAATTCACTGTTTCTGCAAATTAACTGAAGAATTCTTTTGCCTTTGAAAATCAAGCACTGAGATAATGTATTGGCAGGCAGGAGAGGGAGAAATTCATTTGCAGAGGCTCGGTAGGCTCAAGATAGAACTCCACAAAGCTGGGAAAAACAGCTTTCTGTGGCTCTGCTGAGTTCCTGTTAATTACTTAGCCAGACATGACCTTGCACAACTTCTTCAACACCAGGGACTAGGAGATCTTCTGTGGTAAACAGAGCCCATAATAACCCCGTTCTCTAATCTCTGTTTCTGTAGCTGATGCCACCCTTTATAAAAGTGTGTGTGTGTCTATATATATGTTTATCTCCCTGAGGCACCTAATTGACAAATGGCTTTGTGAGGGAATAAGAACATTTGGGTTGCAGGAAGTCATTACACAGGCACAGGTTGACTTGTTTAATTACTGTTTTTGCCAAGATTGCTATCAAGGGACTGGCTGGGTATTAAAGCATTCCTGAGGGGTTTGGGTGGGCATGGCACCTTTAGAGAGCCTAGCAGAGAGTCCCTAAATCTCTGCTCTCTGTGAGCCGCCACAGTCCCTCCTCCCAAAGGCAGGGCAAGGCTTTGCCATCACTGAAATATCAGCCTCCTAAGTAGTTATTTTTGCCTCTCAAGCAAAGCTGCTGTGCCTTACAGGGTGAAGGCAGGTCTGCTGGTTCTTAATTGCCTCCTTCCCCAGTGACTTGGGAGATTGTTCCCTAACTGGCTGTAATTACCCTTTTCTGTAAACTAACCAAAGTGCACTCTGCTTTCAGTGTTATGCTCATTAACAGGATTCTCTTCTGTGGGGTTAATGGATGCTGGGAATGTCCAGTCTGTAGGAGCAGACTGATTTGTGTGGCAAGTGTTTGTGAGTTACCCTGAGGAACAAATCTCTGCCAGGTTTGAAATGAAATCCATAACGTTGAGGACAGAGTATCTGTGGGTGCTCAAGTTGCAGGGCGGATTTATGTGTGAAACATTCATCTAAAAATGGGAGATAAACTTTTTATTGTTCCCAAAAGAGAGCTTGAGGGGAAGGTTCGTTCTGAGCTTGTGCCTGCAGGAGATTTCTCCCTGTGGTTAGTGTTTGTGGTGTGATTACTTGTGTGAGGTGAGGAGGGGATTTATCCCATGAGTGGCACTTCTGGTGTTTTTGTGAGGAAGGTGGGCTGCTAATTTGGCATTGAGAAATGTGGGGAAAATGAAAGCTTCTCTTTGTACCCTGACTCAAACATAATGAATGAAAGAAGGCTCACCATGCATTGCTTGGAAAAAAAATGAAAAATGTCTGAATCCCAGGCAGATGTTTTTCCTTGTTATTGTTTAGTTATTCAGCAGCGTGGACTGAATTTGGTTTTCAGATGAATAAAGGCAAGCAGCACATAAATATAATTCTGAATGCTTTTAACAGCATCCAGCTCTTACCGCAGCCCCTGGATGTGGAGTTTTCTGCCGTGTCTCCTATAATGAGCGCAGAAGTGTGGCTGCTGTGCCAAGCACAGCTGGAAAGGTTTGCCTGGCAATGTTGTTGACTGCTGGACAGTAATGGGGGTGACTTGGGTTTTTTCCTGCATAATGAGGTGATTCCAGTGAGAGCTCAGCTCTGAATCTCCAAGAATCCCTGTGTGGACACTGCTCTGCTGGCAGTGGGGGCTCTTGAACTGCTGCGGAACAGTAACATTAAGGCTTCCTTAGTGCAGCAAACCACATCAGAAAGGTGCTCTCAAAAAGGTGCAGGAAGCTATTGCTGAAAAACTTGTTTCACAAGTGCCTTTGGAGTGAGTTTCCTCTTGTGTACAAGCTCTTGCTCAGAGCATTTCCCCATGTATTTCCAGAGAGAAAGCACTTGATGCACAGTGCTCAGATCTCAAAGGCACCAGGCACTCCAAGTGCTTGGTGCTCAGAATCAGCCCTGATGAGCATTCATACACGTGATGTGGCTAATGGAATTACCCCAACTGTTCTGATGTGCAAAATTGTTTCAATTGTATGTGAGACTACTGCTCCTGCTGGGTGTTTGGCTACCCCAAAGTTCTGGAGAGGAGGCTGAGGAACATAGAAATTGTAGAAATGGAAATAAGGGTTTAGAAATGAAATAGAAATGTGCTTTTGAAAACAAAATGCTTGCTTATTGTTCCTGAAAGCATTGGGTATTTACAGGAAAAACCCTCCAGAATAAATGCTGGAGATTGTGATATTGCATGCTTAGGGATTCAATTACTCTCTATGATTCCCACATGTGGAAAATGACAAGAAATAACTGTCATGCTGTTGAGCTCTGTCTATTCTTTCCAAGCTGCACGCATCTTTGAGAATTACTCTTAACAAATTTAATGGTGTCCCTGGATACAACAAATCAGGAAAATAAGTGTGGAAGAGCCCCCCGTGAGTAGTCTGTGGGCCTTTCACTCTGTCAGATGGTTATGTCACTTGCTCAAGTGCATGATGTGTTTCCACCCTGTAACTGGTAACTTTAAATGCTTACCTGCTAGTCTGTAATGAGAATTATCCTGATAACTCTTAGGAGTCCTGCTGAGGCTGTGACTTCTTCAGGCTCTTTTTTTCCTTTTGCTCTTTGTTTTTTTTGAATGCAGTGATGGTGAGGTTTAAAAAGGCAACCGTCTTGTAGTGTTCTGGCTACTTGACAGCAATAGTGAGAGAAATAATACAGAACAGGCCTCTAGAAGATATTATGTATGTGCAACATGTGTATGCCCCTACATAGACACATCCATAAGTGCATCTCTGTATGTTTGTGGGAAAAATGCCTTTTCATCTCAGGCTGTGGTTTATGCATCTGCTGGCTGCACTTGTGCACTTCCGGCCATTACCAGGAAAAAGGGCTGCTCAGCTTTTATAAGCTTTGCCTCCTTTTAAACTCCCATTAGCATGCACCCATGTCTGGGATGGTATCCCCCCGTTCTTGCCTTACCTTCACATCGTTGACGTTCATCCTCGTCCCCTCCTTCCCCACGAAGATGTCGTCGATGTCCACCAGAATGTACCTCTCCAAGGAGAGTGTCAGCTTCTTCCCCGACAGGAAGGAGATGGCGTCGATGAAGATGAGCTTGTGGAGCCAGAAGGTCAGGTTGTTCCCAAAGAGGACTCTCTGGATGCCGTCGTGCAGGCCCAGGTCCTGGATGACGGTTGCATGGAGAGTGGTGCGGGGCAGCGAGGCTGGGGTGGGCCTGGCGGGCTGCAGCTCGCCCAGCAGCACGGGCTGGTAGGTGGAATGGTTGAACTGGAACACCGTCCAGTCCTGGCCGGGCAGGGGGCCCTGCTCCAGCCTGGGCGCTTTGGTGATGCGCAGCAGGGGCGAGCGAGGGTTCACCACGCAGTCTCGCAGGGCCACGTTGTTGTACAGCTGCAAGGGCAGCCCTTTCAGCCTGCTGCTGGGGGAGCTGTTCTCGTTGGCTTTATGAAAACCAATTATGCTAGCACTGTATTCCACACAGTATTTTTCCAGAAGCTCTCTATTCCATGAGTCCATGGACACATACTTTAAAATATTTTCATATATAATGATGGTGTACTTCCCTCTCCCGTTGTCTGTGAGAGGGGGAATGTCCCCCTTGGCTGGTGCAATGACCATGTGGTACTGAAACTTGCTGGACTCGAGGATGGCTACGATGTCTTGCCCCAGCTGGGAGTACTGGCTTTCCACGAACAGGAGCACAGTGGGATCAGTCCTAGAGGGATCAATTGGCTTAGGTGTTCTCAGCTCCTCAGACCTGTAGGGCAGAAGTTTGAGGTCCTCGCACTCTGCTTGCCCAGTGGTTTCCACAAGGGCCATTTCCTGCTTGTAGCCAGTGTAGAGGAAATAGGCGGAGATGACAATACTTGCTAAGCAGAAGGTGGCCAGGAGAATGACCAGCATTCGGAAGCTTCTGTGGAGCTTCCCGATGAGATTCATCTTTGGCGGGGCTTCCAGTTCCTGCTGGACTTAGCACTCTTCCAGGTGCTCCTCCTAATGTGCCATGGGAATGAGGAGTTGCAGAAGTTCCCTTTCCGAGGTGTTCATGTGACCATTGCAGTGCATTTATGAGGCGTTTGGAGAGGCTGTAAGGATGTTGGAGCGGGAAGTCAAAGGATCAGGAAAGACAAATTGGAAGAGGTTTTCTCACAGAGCAGCAGCTGCCAATAATCAATGAAGAGGACTCTTAACATTATCTGCAACAAGAAGTAAAAGAAGAGTAAGTAAAACAAAATCCATAAAGCAATTAAAACCACACATTAATAAGGCCAGTGATTGATACTGGTAATGTGAGTAAAGAGGGAAGTTCTGAGTAGTTCAAGGAGCACTCAGTGTCGCTTGCTTTCTTGGTGCATTAAGATAAACTGCATTAAACAGTTCCCCTGTGTTCTTAGGATACAGAAATGAACTCTGAAGAAAACTAGTCGAGGATGTGCGTCTCCTTATCTGCTTATCTTATCTAAAATGTGTCGTTACTATTGCAGATGGAACAATGGAAGATTTTAGGGGCAACGTTTGGACCAAGTGAATATTTGTCAAATCTGGGACCATATTCTGCATCAAATTTAAACTGCATAAGGTATAAATTCTGTGTTGGGTTGAAAAACTAATGTTACCAAAGTGAAAGATATGACAGGAGTTTGAGGAGAGAATTTGTAGGGCTTTCTCTCCAGTTTCCATTCTGCACTTAGAGCAATCAGAGTTCATGGTCCGGTTTAGGAACTATAAAGATTCTGTGGGGATTTTCCAAATGAGTGAGCAGGCTGCTACTAATGTGGGATACAGCTGTGCTTGGCTCTGCCTCCCTCAGCAATCAGTGGGAGGTGCTGTGTAGAAGGAGAAGTACCTCAAGGAAGCTGTTTTAGTGCTAGGTGGGCAAGTAGGTGGTGTGTGTGCTGGTCCATGGCACCTCTGGCTGAAGCCCTCAGCCTCTGGTCTGTTCCTGTATGCATCAAGGACAGGGTGCTTAAACCTCATTGCACTGAAGCCCTTGTGCAATTCCTGGCAGTTCTGCCTAAGTTCATGAGAAATTGCCACTGGTAACAATAAACCCCATGATTCAGAGGCAGTTAAAGCTAACTAAATAAATAGCCTTTGCTGCTCTATGAATTTAAGCAGGAATTAACATCTTTGTGAATTATTGATATTGTTTGTTTATTGGAACAATGTGAGACAGTAAACAATGAACTATTTTGGAACTGCTGGGAAGAAATGCTTTTTCCAGGCAGTTCCTTCCCAGTTGATGTGTCCTTTTCCATTAACTCAGATTACATTTTTGACTTGTGTTCTGAAAACTATTCATTCATCTTAAGGTTTGCACCTAAAACTGGAAAATGCTTGTAAGAAGCATTTAGAAAGAAGGAGTTTGTTTTCTGAGACCATTTGTGACGCTGGTGGGTTGAAGCTCTTATCTGATTTACCTTCCTTGGCTGCAAGTTTGGAAGGAGATATTGAGACCCCTGGGTTCTGGGCTGTTCCAGTAGTGACCCTGCTCTGTCACATAACTGGCCAAGAGGGGAGTGAGGTAGGGACAGAAATAGGAAACCTCTTATGCATTTACTCATTTCTTATGTGTAAGAGAACAAATGTAAGAGGAATCACAGCTACCATTAGGAACTTGAAGTCATCCTGATAATCTTAAGAGCATTTGCCCTGCTTTGGTGCTTCCCTTGTTCTACAATTGTCTGCCTGCTGGGATTTCACTTCTTATTAAACCTCCAATTAAGATTCCTTCAAAAGATAACACCGGATCAAGTGAAGCATCCTCGGCAAGATGGTGCTGGAGTTTGGGTGGCATTGAGGACTCCCTCAGGACTTTATCAGATCAGGACTCCTGCTCTCCGTGGGAGGGGCAGTCTCCAGGGCTGGGTCATGTGTCCCCCCAGCAAAGAGCTGACTGCAAAAAGCCTGTTCGGTCAGCACCAGACAGGCAGGTGACTGGGAAAGAACCTTGAGCTCCCGCTCTCCGGGCTGTGCATCCTCGGCTTGCTTTGGGCACTAGAGGGCAATCGCTTCTTGCTTTTGCTAGGCAGCACCGGCTCTCCCTTCGCTCCGCAGCACACTGCCCTGCCTCCGGCCCCGCTCCCGCCAGAAGGCGTCGTAAATCCCCATGGCACGTAAAACACCTTAATTAAGACTCCGATGTTTAAAATTAAATAAAAGCCAGGAGTTCTGCTCGAAAAAATGTGCCGCTGGATCACCCTGGATGGTTTGCAAATGTTTCAGCCTCCACCTGTGACGCAAGGGAATAGCTTGTGAGAAGACCTAAAATGGCAGTTTTTCTTCAGTATTTGGCCCTGCTGGATCTCCTGGGTACTGGTATTGCAAGCTGTCAAAACAATCAACTTCACCAATATTATAGCTTGTGTTACTAAAACAGGAGAAGCCCCTGACTTTATACTAGTCAAAACAAAAGTATGGTCTTCATCGCTAATTATTTCCTCCCAATAACACTGGTAAAATCTCATTGAGACAAAATATGAATAATCAGATTTCATATTAGCTACTATCTGTTGTATGTAGACGTTGTAATTAAGTGCGAGTATTTCCACTTATTGAGATGCATAATTACCTAAAATTGATAAAGAATTTAAACTTGCATAAAGAAACCTGGCATTGGAGTGGACCTTTTTTAGTCTGTCCATTGTTTTTCAACTGCTCTGTTGAACTGATTATACTGTTCAATTAAAAAAAAAAAGGTGTGAAGTAATTTAAGGTTATGAAAAGAAATCAGCTAAATTTGCCATTAGTGGAACTTTCTCCAAGGCATAATTGGAAGTTAAGTGCCATTTGTGCCTTTGAAACTCTCCTCCTTAAAGTTCAACAGCTTTGCATTCACTCCAGAATTCAACTATCTTCGTAGAGTTCCTGTGCTAGATGTATTTGAGCAACATGAAAATAGGCCATATTTCATAATTAGTGTTACTTATAGAGCTTCATTTTGGTAACTGGTATTTGGGGTCCTGTGCTCCTGTGGTCACTGATGAGCCCTCACTGACTCTTCAGAGAGGTAAGGCCAAAGCTGGGTGCATTTGGTTGAGGAATCAAGGCTGCACTCATCCAGGGTTGGTCCTTCAGTAGATCTTGTCCATTCAGCTGATTTCCTTCATGTGGGGCCTTGGCCCAGCAAGAGCAGAACGCTGCAGTACAGCTCTGTTGTGATGTCAGACACATCTGCAGGGACTCTAATTTGTCTTTAATTCAGGCAGCTGAAGAAAAATGGAGGTTTAAAAATTGCTGCCTCCTTGCTAAATAACACTTCCTGCTTGCCTGCAGAAAGGCGTTTGATGGATGACTAAAGCGTGCTACTTCTGAAGATGATTGATTGGGAGATTAGGACTTGACTATTTAAAACTGATGGCACGACAGCCAGGAGAAGCAGCCCCCTGGTAATGCCATGTGGTAGCTGTGCACCAGGAATTCAGGCTGGCTCCTCATGGGCCAGCTCCCATGGGCACAGCTTCCCCCAGGGCTCGGTGCCTGAGCCAGCACACTTGGTGTGTGGGCTGGGGGAGCTCCTCTTGCCTCTGATCGTGGTAGGCAGAGGATCTCTGAGCTCCTTGAGCCTGTGGGAAGTAGAAATATGGATATGAAGCCATCAGCTGTGCTGGCTCACCCTGAGGATGGAGCTAATGGGCTTGACATCTGCAGAGGGTTCAGAGCGTGGCAGTGCTGGCACTGCCCAGCAGAGCAGCAGGACCCTGGTTGTTCCACAGCACTGTGGCCATTCCCAATCTCCTGTCTGCACCACAGTGCACTGCTGGGAGCAATTCACCTGGAGGCAGGCCAGAGCTTCCCCTTCCTTATTCTGTCATAAATCAGAAGTCAGAATGTCTTTATTGTCTGTATATAAAACTTCCCTTTAGGCTAAAAACCTAATGTAAAGCCTTTCCTTTTTCTTTTCTTTCTAAGCTTGTATGACTCCTGTCATTTACTGCCAGCCCAATGAATTATGACAGCTGCCTTGCTGCTCCTTGCATGAGACTCCTCATTCATTACAGAAACAAGCAGCCTGATTTGAGTGATAAATGACTCCTGGTGACCATTTGCAAAAATTCAGGGTTTCTGTTATTTAGGAAGGAGAAAAAGCACATTTTTCTTTTCTTTCCCTCAGAAAAGTTTCCAGGAGATTTTTTGGCTGAGCTCACAAAACTTACTTACATCCTCTTTGAAAGTAATTTTTTTTTCAAACTTAACTAAGCTGCAATGTGTTTTATGTTTGTAAATGTGGCTTTGTTTGAGAGAGGTCTCAATACCAGCTTCTCATAGCTCATCACAAAGTATTAGAAAACTCTTTTTACCTAGCATAAGGCCAGCTTCTGAGCTGATAAGGGCTGGAGAGCTTCTGACTTCTATTTTATTATTTTTGAGTGGAGAGGCTGCTCAGTACTTTCACCTCTTTTGTTTCTTTTATATGCATAATCATGTGTAAGTTGAACACCCAATTTTTCAGTATTTTCACCTGTTTGATCAAGTCTATATTGTACATATAATCTTGTGTGAATTCAGAAAGCTAAATGATGCCAGAGGGTGAAGTCAATAATCAATGAATATAAAGCAAAGAGTTTGAAATACCTCAACTGGTGCACTTGATGAAAGCTGGAGTGATTTTTAGCATGAAACAATACTTGGAAGGGAGCTGTTTGACCCTTCTGACTTCTATTTCTCTTTGACTTTGAGCTTTTCCAGATGATTTCAGAAGGTGGTGAGAAGGCTCCCTGGTGGAGCAGTGGTTGGAGGGTGATTTGCAGATGAGTTTTGCCCATGGGGATCTTCTCACACCTGTGCACATCCTTTGGGTCACAGCCCAAATGTGACATTTCATGTGGCTTAGCTCCTTGTAGAAATGTGTTTTAAGACTTAGCCAGACCACCCTTGTGGTGAATGTTGCCTGATGTTCAGCCTCACCACTTCCTTCTTGTGACCCATTAACTTCCAGCAGTCCCACGGTCATTTGGACCACCCAGAAATTCCATAAATATCCCATCTGGGATGTTTCAGTGAGGCTTCCTCCAAATGGCACCATTAATGGGTCTCTAATGCATTGGTACTTCTGAACATAATGAGTAGTTGCAACATTTTCTCAGGAATTTCTGACTCGTGCTCTCTCTGGAGTGTCAGGAGTGGAAGCTCCCAGCAATCAGTAATTAAGGTATAGTCTGAGGAGAGCCATGCATGAAGAGAGAACCTATATATG